GAGGGGCGGACGGTTGTCTGGATGTTGGCATCTTTGTCAATGCCCATTCGTACAGACTGTCCTTATGTGCACTCCTTGTGCCAGCACTTGGAGAAACCACCACGGGGGGCTTTTGCTAATGGAATGGAATAGAAGAGTTCGGTTGGAAGACCTACAACCACCCAGTCCGGGTGCCTGACCAACTCAGGGCTGGTCAAGTTAAAGCATGGTGTTAAGGGCATTGTCCAAATGCCTCTTGAACAGTGACAGGGTCGGGACATCGACCTCCTGTCTAGGAAGCCTGTTCCAGGGTGTGACCACCCTCTCAGTAAAGAAATGCTTCCTAATGTCCAGTCTGAATCTCCCCTGACCAGCTCTGAATCATTCCTATGCATCCTATCACTGGCTATCGGGGCGAAGAGATCAGCACCTCCCTCTCCGCATCCCCTCCCGAGGAAGCTGGAGAGAGCAATGAGGTCGCCCCTCAGCCTCCTTTTCTCTGAACTAGACAAGCCTAAAGTCCTCAGCCACTCCTCACACGACATTCCTTCCAGCCCTTTCACCAGCTTTGTTGCCCTCCTCTGGATGCATTCAAGGACCTTCACATCCTTCTTAAATTGTGGGGCCCAGAACTGCACACAGTACTAGAGGGGAGGCCACAGCAACACCAAATACAGCGGGATAATCACCTCTTTTGACCGGCTGGTTATGCCGTGTGGGATACACCCCAGGATGCAGTTTGCCCTCTTGGCTGCCAGGGCACACTGCTGACTCACATTGAGCCTGCTGCCAACCAGCACCCCCAGATCCCTTTCTGCAGGGCTGCTCTCCAGCCACTCCTATCCTAATTTATACCTAAACCTCCTCCCTAAATCATGACATTGTGCCCAGCTTTATTCTCTTCTAGGAGCAGAATCTGGCATTTGGACTTGTTAAATTTCATCCCATCAATCATAGCCCAATGCTCCAATCTAGACCCCTCTGGAAGGCCTCTTGTCCTTCAAGAGGATCAACAGCACCTCCCAGTTTGGTATCATCAGCAAACTTGCTAATGGTGCATTCAAATCCTGCATCCAGATAGTTGATAAATATGTTGAACAGAACTGGCCCTGGAATTGAACCCTGAGGAACACCGCTGGTGACCAGTCACCAGCCAGATGTAGCCCCATTCACTACAACCCTTTGAGCATTACCCTTCAGCCAATTCTTCACCTGGTGCACCATGAACCTGCTCATCCCACGATTGGACAACTTGTCCAGAAGGATATTGTGAGGGACAGTATCAAAAGCCTTACTAAAAATCCAGAAAAACTGCATCTACCACCTTCCCTTCATCCACTAGGTGGGTGACCTTATCGTAGACAGATATCAAATTAGTTAAACAGGACTTTCCCTTTATGAACACATGTTGATTCTGCCTTTAAATGCCTTTCAATAGTATCCAGTATAATCTTCTCCATATTTTTTCCAGGAACTGAGGTTAGACTTAACAGGTCTGTAGTTACCTGGGTCTTCCCTCACACAATCTTTTTGGAGACTGGAAGAACACTGGCTAGCTTCGAGTCAGCAGGGACCTCCCCAGACTCCCAAAACCGTTAGCAGATGATCAAGAGGGGTCCTGCCATAATATCTCTTAGCTCCTTCAGTACTCTGGGATGAATCCCATCAGGCCTTATGGACTTGTGAACATTCAGCTGATACAGATGGTCCCTTACAATTTTAGCGTCCACAAAGGGAAAGACACTATTCCCACACTTGGGGTCCTCTAACTGAGGGGACCAGGCAGCCCAAGGTCTATCAGTATTATTAAAGACAGGCAAAAAAGGCATTAAATGCCTCTGCTTTTTCTGCATCCCTATTAGTCAGGTGACCATCTTCAACAAGTATTGGTCCAATGTTTTCTTTAAACCTCCTCTTGCTATTAAAAAAGCCCTTCTTGTTGTCTGTCACAACGCTGGCCAGGTTCAACTCTAATTGAGCTTTGGCCTTTTGTGTCTTCTCCCTGCATATACAAACCACACCTCTGTAATCTTCCTGCGAAGCCTGACCTTGCTGCCAGAGATCATACAATTTCTTTTTCCTCTTGAGCTCCAGGAGGAGTTTTCTGTTCAGCCAAGATGGTCTTCTGTCCCGCTTGTTTGACTTACGACACAGTGGAATTGCCTGCTCCTGTGCTTCTAAAAGGTGGTTCTTAATAACTGACCAGCACTAGCAGACCCCTAAGCCCTCAGAAGCAGATTCCCAGGGTACTGTGCTCCCTGAATAGCTCAAAGTTTCCTCTCCTGAATTCCAGGGTAGCAACTCTGCTGTCCTTTTTTCTCATTACGCTGAAAATTTTGAACTTGAATATTTCATCATCACTGTGGCCAAGACAGCCACCTACCGTCGCATCTCCTCAGAGTCCTTCTCTATTCACAAACAGCAAGTCTAGGAGGGAATCTTTCCTAGTTGACTCACTGAGTACTTGTGA